TCACTTTTGATTTATAAAGAATCCTAACATGAATGTCATCAGAAAAAACAAAGTTAGTTACTGAACCCCCTTAACCATTTAATATGAAAAAGTATTATAGAAAGTACATAAAACATTAAATCAATGATTCCTGAAAATCATACTTAGAATTTCGGATTAAACCGGCCATGGCTTGTTTAACTTGCTATTTCACGTATTATCCACTTACGTTCTCGTTGGAATTATAGAATAACAAACGATAACAGTATTTCAAGACTAGAGATATAAAAGGCGCTGATATATATATCCGGAAGCCTTTAGTATATGAAATTACTCCTCGATTTCAAATGACTTCCTCGTGTGTTTATTAAAGAATAATGTCAGGTGTTCGCGCAGAGAGAATTTTCAAATAAATGAGCCAGGATTTATTTTTTCACAGTACTTTACATTTTTATTTTATCATCTGACTTTACTGAATCATTTGATAACCAAGAATCTTGTAATCAGAGTATTTATACCTGTGTATATATGCAACACACACACACACACACACACACACACACACACACACACACACACACACACACACACACACACACACACACACACACACACACACACACACACACACACACACACACACACACACACACACACACGTTTTATTTGCATATTTTAGTTTTATCTAACTCTCATGGGAGAATTGTGAGTGCTATAATAGAAGTAAAATGCATAACATAACTCGCAAAACGTTCATATTCATATGAACAAACGAAGACCCTAAACATTACCCGTTCACATCAAGACCACGAGACAGGGTGCTCCTCCACTCATTCCAACGGCGCTTTTTGGACCATTCCACTGATGTCTCTCGGGTATCCAAATAGTGGCCCTCGGATATTCTCACAGTGCCTAATAGTGGCCCTCGGATATTCTCACAATGCCTAATAGTGGCCCTCGGATATTCTCACAGCGCCTAATAGTAGCCCTCGGATATTCTCACAGTGCCTAATAGTGGCCCTCGGATATTCTCAGTGAGATATGCTCACAGCGCCTAATAGTGGCCCTCGGATATTCTCACAGCGCCTAATAGTGGCCCTCGGATATTCTCACAGCGCCTAATAGTGGCCCTCGGATATTCTCACAGCGCCTAATAGTGGCCCTCGGATATTCTCACAGGCCCCTCGGATATTCTCACAGGCTAATAGTGGCCCTCGATATTCTCACAGCGCCTAATAGGCCCTCGGATATTCTCACAGCGCCTAATAGTGGCCCTCGGATATTCTCACAGGCCTAATAGTGGCCTCGGATATTCTCACAGCGCCTAATAGTGGCCTCGGATATTCTCACAGTGCCTAATAGTGGCCTCGGATATTCTCACAGCGCCTAATAGTGGCCCTCGGATATTCTCACAGCGCCTAATAGTGGCCCTCGGATATTCTCACAGCGCCTAATAGTGGCCCTCGGATATTCTCACAGCGCCTAATAGTGGCCCTCGGCGCCTAATAGTGGCCCTCGGATATTCTCTCACTAATAGTGGCCCTCGGATATTCTCACAGGCCTAATAGTGGCCCTCGGATATTCCCACAGCGCCTAATAGTGGCCCTCGGATATTCTCACAGCGCCTAATAGTAGATATTCTCACAGTGCCTAATAGTGGCCTCGGATATTCTCACAGCGCCTAATAGTGGCCCTCGGATATTCTCACAGCGCCTAATAGTGGCCCTCGATATTCTCACAGCGCCTAATAGTGGCCCTCGGATATTCTCACAGCGCCTAATAGTGGCCCTCGGATATTCTCTCAGCGCCTAATAGTAGCGATATTCTAATAGTGGCCCTCGGATATTCTCACAGCGCCTAATAGTGGCCCTCGGATATTCTCACAGCGCCTAATAGTGGCCCTCGGATATTCTCACAGTGCCTAATAGTGGCCCTCGGATATACGCCCTCGGATATTCTCACAGCGCCTAATAGTGGCCCTCGGATATTCTCACACAGCCTAATAGTGGCCCTCGGATATTCTCACAGCGCCTAATAGTGGCCCTCGGATATTCTCACACAGTCCTCGATATTCTCACAGTGCCTAATAGTAGCCCTCGGATATTCTCACCTAATAGTGGCCCTCGGATATTCTCACAGTGCCTAATAGTGGCCCTCGGATATTTCTCACAGCGCCTAATAGTGGCCCTATATTCTCACAGCGCCTAATAGTGGCCCTCTCACAGCGCCTAATAGTGGCCCTCGATATTCTCACATAACCTCGGATATAGTAGTGCCCTCGGATATTCTCACAGCGCCAGATATTCTCTCGCCTAATAGTGGCCCTCGGATATTCTAGCCTAATAGTAGCCCTCGGATATTCTCACAGCGCCTAATAGTGGCCCTCGGATATTCTCACAGTGCCTAATAGTGGCCCTCGGATATTCTCACAGCGCCTAATAGTGGCCCTCGGATATTCTCACAGCGCGCCCTCGATATTCTCACATAATAGTGGCCTCGGATATTCTCACAGCGCCTAATA